TATGTCATCGCCGCCAGGACGGCGCAATCTTGTATTCTATCTTTCTTGTCAAATATGCATTTAGATCTAACTGTTATACTACTATTAATGGTAACCATGAATATTTATTAAAATCGTTTCAATTCGTAATAAAAGCAGATTACATACTTCTAGTCTAAATATATTTTTTAATATAAACCNAATCGTTTCAATTCGTAATAAAAGAAGATTACATACTTCTAGTCTAAGTATATTTTTTAATATAAACCAACTTTTTTAATTCTAAAATAAATCAACAATTCAAAAATATTTATAAAATACGCCCCAAAGCATCCCTGTTGATGTCATAATTCAAATGCAAATTTGAAAAGAAATTTTGATGCAAAAGATTTTCCGCGATATTCATCATACAAATTTATCATCTTACTTGTCCGTATGCCGCTGTGGGAAGAAATATATTTTAATTTATTTGTTTTCCTAACAATAAATGCAAATTTACANTGGAAAGCAAGAGTGGGCATGTATTTTTAATTTCTTATTTAATCAATTCAAATGAATAAAACACACATTTTTCTAAAACATTTCTCAATTTACATTTTAAAGTTTTTTCTGAAACTTGAATGTAACTCTGTACGGAGAATGAGAGAATTAGAAATCAGGTGATCTCAGCTGTTTTCGAATGTAAACCAACAAAATGGCGCCTTCCATACTTGTAAGCCCATACAATGGTTAAAAGTTATTCATCATTTGACATTATAGTCGGTGTTCAAAAGAGAGAAATAGCAAAATCACTTCTACCTTATTTAATATGCCTTGGTTTTACCTTACTTTGTTTTTATCATTGATTTTGGTTTGTGAAATTTTAATTGTTTATTTTAAAATGTGTCATATTTATATTTAAAACACTTAATTTTATATTTTTAAGGCTCCAAAATTGAAGGAAAAATTTTGCGTGTGTCACTTATCAACTGGTGATATGCTCCGTGCAGAAATATCTTCCGGATCTATATTGGGAAAAGAGTTAAAAAAGGTAATGGATGAAGGCAAACTAGTTTCCGACGAGCTAGTTGTAGACATGATTGATAGTAATTTGGACAAACCAGAATGTCGAAATGGATTCCTTCTAGATGGATTTCCCCGTACCGTTGTCCAGGCGCAAAAGGTAAGATTATTTGATTACATGCGTCTACAAATACTTTGTAAAATTATTTTAAAATGAAGTGATTCCCTTAAATGATGCTAAAATAAAAAGCGATATACGTAATGACAGCTCGTTTCGACGGCTCTACGTAAAGAAAATTCCCTACCCGTAGGTATTTTAGCCGAAAAAACGAGTGCAGGGAAAGGGCAGAATTTTATAAATAATTGGAGGGATTTTTCGAAAAATCAAAAATTGTATGTAAAAATATTTTTTCACAGTTCAAAGTTCACATGACAACTTTTTATCAAGAATATATTCTAATGGCATCATCAAATCCCAAAAAGTGTACTAGCGGCGACATGCAATCACCATGAGCATCATGTTTTTTTTTTTTTCAAACTATCGTCGACAGCGTATTTTTAGGGTAAGATGCTTGATTTATTTTATTGCTTGATTTATTTTGTTACAACATTTGCAACGAAGTTCTAATTCTATGCATCTCCACCTAGACCTAGCATTTTTGTGTTTCCAGTACCTACCTTTTGATCCATTTTGGCAAATTTGCAGCATTGCTCACTTTGAAGGTAGTTGCTTCAATGGCACACTCCGTTTGACATGTCATGAGCACTGGCTCAATCCGATTTTGGTGGCCTCAGGAGCTATATTGGCGCTCACTTGATAAAGCCGAATATTAAAGTTAAATAAAATATATAAATTTTTTTTGTATATGTATATGGGTCAAAATAAAGGGATGGATAATTTCAGTTGGAAAGAGTTTTTTTGTCCAAAATTGCAGAAAATTTAAAATTTTATTTGATTTGCCGATTAATATAGTTTACCGTTAACGACACATTTAATCGGGTTAGTTAAATGCATTTATATTTAAATTTGACTTCATACGAAATAGCCCATAAATCATTTCAGTAACGCTTCCATAATCCCTTAAGGGAAATTCGATTTGCCAAAATACACGTTAAAGTGGATTGAATTCGAGTAGCTACATTCGTAACATTACTTACATACAGTATTGGCCAATACAATAGCACCCCTATTTTAAAGTGATTCCTATTGTTTGCCACTCATATATGTATATTTATTTATTTTTTTGAAATTTACAGTTAAAATACAGTTCATTCTCCAACAAAAGCCATATAAACCTAAATTTAAAACTTCGGAGAAAACTACAAAAAAATGCAAAAAAATTCACCATTCATTTCTTGAGTACACAGTTTTATAGCCCATTTAATTTTAGTCCAATAACGTGCAAGTCTCAAGTGGCTAAAAAATACCGTTGATTTTCTAGAATCCGTCGAAAAAGTTGCGGGTTTCTTTCATACAAAAATAAATTGTGGTTATTCGTTATATGAAAGCAAATGCGACAAAAAAATTCTATAAAATCGACGGTAATTTCTAGCCCCTTAAAACTTACACATTATTAGACTAAAATTTAATGGGCTATAAGAGGGGTGTATTGGTGTAGTGGTAAGCAGTGCGCGCTTCCACTCCGCAGCACCTGGGTTCAAACCCTGGTCAAAGCAACATCGCAAAATATATAGAAAAAGGGGTTTTTCTGAACAGCGGTCGTCCCTCGGCAGGCAATGGCAAACCTCCGAGTGTATTTCTGCGATGAAAAACAGCTTCTCATAAAAATACAATCGCCGTTCGGAGTCGGCGTAAATTTGCAGTTGCCGAATTTGGAGAAATGATGAAAGTCAAAGCTTGTCATTCATATTCTAATTTTATTGATCAAACTTAATGCTATTTATACACAAATTATTTTCTAAGCCACTTTCATAGCTCCACCTCTTTTGCAGTGCTTTGTAATTCAGCATTCCAAATTTGCAAAGCAACAAATTAAAACGCAGTGCATGATGTGCCGCCGAAATGTTCTGCTTGTACAGTGGCGGTGTCGCTCAATGCAGCGGGCAATGCACTAGGCTGTATTGTTTACAATGTTGAACTGCTTGGTCAGCGATAATGGAATCTGCGTCAACGGGTAATGCTTATGTNATTTATACACAAATTATTTTCTAAGCCACTTTCATAGCTCCACCTCTTTTGCAGTGCTTTGTGATTCAGCATTCCAAATTTGCAAAGCAACAAATTAAAACGCAGTGCATGATGTGCCGCCGAAATGTTCTGCTTGTACAGTGGCGGTGTCGCTCAATGCAGCGGGCAATGCACTAGGCTGTATTGTTTACAATGTTGAACTGCTTGGTCAGCGATAATGGAATCTGCGTCAACGGGTAATGCTTATGTTGCATTTTGCCGTGACTCACTACACTAGATATTATTCTAAAGAAACTGAATTTAACTACAGTTCTTAATACTAATTAAAAACTGCATGGCGGTTTTTTAACTTTTTTATAAAAATTTTGCAGGTGGTTTTTACAAATGCAAAAGTTATGTTATAACGTTTGATATTTATGTTTGGTTTTAATGCAGCATTATAGACGAATATCTAAGGAAATTTTTGGGAAAGTTTCAAGTTTAAACAGCAAGTAATTCGAAAGTTATAACTATATTATGATGACTCCCATGAGCGGACGCTCGCCTCTAGATGACAAATATTTTTACGTGTTGAAATTCATTATTTATTTATCATTGTTATAGCACTTATTAAAGTTCTTTGTTATAAATATGGCCCGGATTTCTATGCATTTACATTTTTTTTTTGTAAGTGATAGGAACTTAAAGATTAACAAATGTTGCGAATCAAGAGTTTTGTGTTAAGATGACATCGATTTGTTGGTGCATATTCTTACATATTTTGCCTTAAATGCATATATAGGCATATTTTGTCAAAAAAAAGGATATTTAATTGCATTTTTTATTAAACACCGTTTGTCTAGAACGCACGAATCGCTCTACAATTGCAAGAGCATTTGATAATTTCATGCAACTATTGGGTACAAATTTCGTCGAAAATTATTTTAATGTCATATATAGAGCCCTAACCGCCAAAAAAGNTCTTACATATTTTGCCTTAAATGCATATATAGGCATATTTTGTCAAAAAAAAGGATATTTAATTGCATTTTTTATTAAACACCGTTTGTCTAGAACGCACGAATCGCTCTACAATTGCAAGAGCATTTGATAATTTCATGCAACTATTGGGTACTAATTTCGTCGAAAATTATTTTAATGTCNTATATAGGCATATTTTGTCAAAAAAAAGGATATTTAATTGCATTTTTTATTAAACACCGTTTGTCTAGAACGCACGAATCGCTCTACAATTGCAAGAGCATTTGATAATTTCATGCAACTATTGGGTACAAATTTCGTCGAAAATTATTTTAATGTCATATATAGAGCCCTAACCGCCAAAAAAGCGTAAGCGACATTTTTTTCAAAATTTCTTTTTGATTCAGAATTGCATCTAGATGCTCTAGGGGCAAACGCGTTGAAGGTATTTTACCCAAAGTTACTGCACGTTACTTCTTTGGCACGTAATGCACCGAGTGGCCGAAGGTGTAAGAGCTCGCTTCAGTGTTGTGATATTTGTGATATTTATTGATGAAAGCATTTGTACAACTTAAGACAAGAACAATCTTTTAAAAGTACATCAACTACATACATACATACATGCATGGATATGGATCAAATACAATTGGAAGTTAAAATATGTAACATGATTTGTTGAATTTATGAATAATTTTGTATATTAAGTAATACAGTTCAGCCAGAGGTTATAACAATAACCTTAAGGATAAGAATAGTTGGGATAAAGATTAATAGATTGAAAGCATGGGAGGAGGAAAAACAAAATAATTCAGAGAATATTAATCCAGTATTAATCCATCTCACAGAAGTAACGAAGAATTTNAATAGATTAAAAGCATGGGAGGAGGAAAAACAAAAGAATTCAGAGAATATTAATCCAGTATTAATCCATCTCACAGAAGTAACGAATAATTGCTGTTTTGTAGTTGCCTCTATTCAGTTCCATCTTTAGCGAATCAGGTAGCGTGTTCCAGAGTCTCACAGCGTTAACGAAAAACATCCTTGATGAGGTTAGATAGGTGTGCTTAGGAACAATAAGGCTATGATGTCTACGCACTGGTCGTATCAGTTTGTCACAAAGGTATTTAGGTGTATTCCACTCCTGCAGCTTGAATACAAACATGCAGTTTCTCGCCTCTATATAGTCGAAGATATCGCAACTCAGAATTTTATTTCTCCATGGAGTGATGTGATCGTACTTTCCAATACCATAGACGTAGCGTGTGATGCTATTAAAGGCCACCTCGATTTTATGTGCAGACGCTGAGTCAAGTTTACTATATACTAGTTCGGAATATGTTATCTGGGGTACGATAAGCTGAATGGCTAGCTTGCGTCTCGTTTCCAAAGGGGTAAATGGTGCAG